AATTAGAAGAAAAAAGGTAGAAGAAGCATCACTGTTCATCATATAAACACCGACAACCATCAATGTGGGTAGAAACAAATAAGATTTTCACATTTTTTTACCTGTTTTCAACTTCTTCAACAATTTTTCACTGATTTTGCTTTGATTTCTACCGATTTTGGAGAAAAAATCGCAAGATTGAGATGAGAGAGAAAGTGTAGGAGAGAGAGAGCTCAATGTCGATGAGGGAGAGAGAGACAGGAGAGAGACACCGGAAAGAGAGAGGAGAGAGACCCCGTTTACCCTAATTTTTGGGGATATTTTTTTAATAAAAAATTAAATATAAAAGGGTGTTTTGGTCATTATTTATAGAAAAAGGTATATTAGATGTTGGAATTTTTTTTTTTAAGGGGAGAGTATGAATGGAAGTTGATGTGCACATTGAGTGTAAAACGGAAGTTGTCCCTGTTGAAAGTCTCTCTATATATATATATACACATGTGTGTATGTGTTTTGTTCTCTGTTGGATTCGATTACCGAGAATTTTCCACATATGGTACACACACAAGTGTACTTTTCTTAAATTTTCTATGTTTTTGTTTAATATGTTTTTTTATATATGATTAAAAGATTTTTCTGCTTTTACTTTGGTCAAAGAAAATACTTCCAATGATTGTTTTGTGCTCCACCTTGCCTGTATCTGTGCAGATATCGGTATGGTGGAATTGTTACTTGAAAATTTTAAGTATGTACACAAAAATATATTTTTTCATATATTATTGCATCGGATATTATAATTTTTTATAAGACCGCAAGAATCTTCAATAATCTCAACATAACTAAAATCAAATGATTTCAGCATCATTTCTCACGAGTTATAATGTTTTAATTTTTTTTTTTATTGAATTCCATATAAATCTCTAATAATTTCCAGATAATTCAAACTAAATATGCTTGATTGTTATTTTTTAAGAGCAATTATGCTAGAAATTATACATTTAGTCCAGATTCAATTAATGTTAATATTATTTAATTTCATTTACTATTTATCACATCGTGATGTAAATGAAAGAGTTGAATAGACCACGAGTTGTGTGATATATATTGGCTAATCTTACCTGCACAGTGTAACGCAAATCTCTTTTATTTTCAACGTGAATATATATATATATATATATAACACTAACTTTGAAACTCTTCTACCTTTTTTTATGGATTTTGTCTTCTCCTCAACTAATCCAAAAACTAAAATTGTTACTTTTTTTTACGTTTCAGATTTTGGTTCATCCTTTTAGGAATAACTTTGATTCTTTTTATGACATGTGATTCTTTTTTAATAAAATATAGTTATCTTTAATAAAATATATTGTTATTTAAAATAAGATTTATTTATTTATAAATCAGTAGTAGATAATTTTATATATAAAATAAAAGATAAAAAATTTGATAAAGGTACATCATCCTTTTATATAGATTTTTTAAAAATTTGATTGGGTATATAAAAATTATTATAAAATTTAATAAAAACAATTTAAGTAAGAAATGAATAATCCAAAATCAAATTATAAAAATTAAATGAGAAAATTTTAAAAATATCAAAATTTGGATAGAAATACCGATAAAGAGAATCAGTTAATAATATCAGTTTTAAGCTTTATATTTGATTGTTTTAATTTTAATATTCGTTTGTTTTACCAAAATTACAACGCAATACCCTAATCACAAATTATTTGATATTCAATGATTTTTATATGGAATATTTGAGTAATAGTTTCATATTCAATGATTTTTCGCAAATAATATAAAATTATACAAAAAATTAGAAAAAAATATATCTATTTAAAAGTGTTATATAAATACATAAATTCCATTGTGACGGTTAACGTTTCGATTTTTCATAAATATCATTAGGATATAATAAAAAAAATTCTATTGATGTTTAAAGTAATTTATGAATTTGAAATGAGTCAAATGAACACCAGAGAAACCGTTAATATTTTGATGGGTAATGTAAAATATCAGTTTTGTCGGGTAGAAGTCCCTTAAGTTTCATTGATTTTTTGTTTTGAAGATTTTTTAGAAACTTATCAGATCGAGTCTTGAAGTGTATACTCTAAATAAAATGTCAATCTTATAAGATCTTATTAGAATCTGGATCCGGTAAGTATCGCTTTATTTGAGATTACAATTCCTATAGTTGATGGTTTACGATACAATGACATATGTATCACATATGATGGATTAAGTCAAATATTTTATCATATAAAAGAATATTTTAAAAAGAGTCTTGAAATATATAAAATAAATTGGGATGATAAGAAGAATAAAAAAAATATAACACATATTCTAAACTCTAAAAACGATCATTAAATATATTATTTATTAAGTAAATATAAAAATATTAAAATCAAAAGGTTAATAAAAGAATAAAATTTAATCATGAAAAAAAAATACAAAAATAATTCACCTTTTTAAATAAAATTATTTTTAAAATAGTTATTTTTCTCTAATGTCAATAATATAAGTTTTTTTTGTTATTTATTATTTGAAACCTTATAATTTTTTCGTAAACAAAATAAAATTATACAAAATATTATAAAACAAATAGAAAAAATAAATCTACTTAAAAGTTTTATATAAATATATAAATTATATTATGATTATTAACGTTTTGATTTTTTTATAGATATCGTTAGGATATGATAAAAAAAAATTGTATTGATATTTGAAGGAACTTATAAATCTGAAATGAGTCCAACGAATATCATAGAAAATGTTAAGATTTTGATAGGATCATGTGAAATGTCAGTTTTATCGGGTAGGAGTCTTATCGGATCAAGTCTTAATGTGTTTTTATTTTGAAGATTTTTTAAAATTTATTGTATCAGGTCTTAATATGTATACTCCAAATAAAAGGTCAACCATATTGAGTCTTGTTAAAATATGGATCCGGTAAAACTCACTTTATTTGAGATTCCAACTCCTATAATCGATGGTTTATGAGACGATGATATATGTAGAACGTATGAGAGATTAAGTCAAATCTTTCATCATACAAACGAAGAACTCACAATGGGTCTTACCCTAGGTTCAAACCCAAGCATGGAGATGAGTATTCACCCTGACTTTCCATGTTCTCCGAGAGGCGTAGTTGGGTCAAATGACCGATAAACTTTTGGATTATAGAAAAAAAAGAACAATAATTTTTTTTAACAAAATACAGATCAAATTAAATAAAAAATTAATTAAATGATACTCCAACTCATATATATTTAATTTAATAGTGGATTGATTTTTTTATGGGTTATCAAACCAATATTATTGTGATAAAATACACATAATACATAAATAAGATATAATATTAGTTTTAATTTTTTAATATAAAGGTGATAAAATCTAAGTTTGTAAAAAAATAATAATACATTGATTTAGAATATAATGAGAGAAATGAAAGAGTCATATGATTAGTATTGTATTTTATTATTTTGGTTAAATTAAATAGATATCTATAAAATTTAAATAATGATGAGATTATACATATTTAATATTATACCAATATTTTATTGTGAAGTGTTATTGATCTAAATACATTATTATTGGATTTGTAACATCCATTAATTTTATATTATTGTTTAAAATTGTACTTGATAGACTAACGGTAGTCACATTCTTAAGTTAACTCTCGATTTGTCAGGAGTAAAACTCTTTCATCGTAAAATTTCTAAAAATATTATTCTGATGTTCTAAATTCCAACATTTGATTTTATATTATAACATACGAAAATATAAAAAAAAAGTTATTCACAATCCTTTTAAAAACAAATATCATATCATTATCTTAATATTTTAAAAATTATTTATTATTTTAATTTAAAAATATACATTATAACTTCAAAAATAAAATAAAATATATTTAACTTTAAAATTAATAATAAATTTATTTTAAAATTTATACTAATTTGTAATCTGCGTAATACGCGCAGAGTTAAAACCTATTATCTATTATATATTTAAAACGAACATTTTATCAATTGAAGAGAACCCTATTAAACATAAATTTAGAATAGATATATTTTTTTTTTATAAAATCAAGACACATTGGTAGATACTGTAGATTATTTTTATCTGAAAAAGAATTATTATTTTCGGCAAAATTGAAATTATTCTCGTAAAATTTGATTAATTTAGATGCATTGCCGTACTTCAACAATGGTTTTATATTTGATCATTTGCACCATTATTTTCGGTAATTTACGTACAAGTGTTATTCATTTTTTTTTACAAAAAGACATGGGAAAATTTATACAAAATTAAACAATGAAGAAAAAAATGGGGGCAATAGCAAAAACAAACATAAACTTTGTGTATTTGGCAGATAAATACACAAACTTTCATTTTAGTAATAAAATACACCAACTTTTATATTTTTAGCGTAAACTTCCACAAACAGTAATAACATTAAAAAAATAATGAAACTATCAATACGTCATGTATATATGAATATCATATCATTTGTTTAATAAAACCATATCATTAATTACATGTAATAAATTTATTATTAATCTTGTTTAGTGATTTTGTTTTTTGATGTTCAAAACATAATATATTTGCAATCAAAAAACAAAATCACTAAACAAGGTTTATAATAAATTCACTAATCATATATATTATGTTTTGAATATAAAAAAAACAAAGTCACTTGTTCATAATAAATTCACAAAACATAATTAATGATATGGTTTTATTAAATAAATGATATGATATTTATATACAACTGTATATGACGTATTGATGGTTCAGTTATTTTTTTTACGCCGTTAATGTTGGTGAAGTTTTATGCTAAAAATATAAAAGTTGATGTATTTTATTACCAAAATAAAAGTTCATGTATTTATTTACCAAATATATAAAGTTCATGTTTGTTTTTGCTATTGTCCCGAAAAAAATGTGATCAACGGCGAGTTTTCAAATTGGGTGTTAAACCCTAAACCCTAAGAAGCGGCGTTGTAAACTAAACTAGACGCTGCTGTTTCTAGAGTCTTCGTTTCCGCTTATTAAAAAGCCCTCGGCTCTCCCTTCTCTCGCGTTCCACATAAGTCCGATCTCCATCATCGTCTTCTTCAATCCTTACCCTCTGCAATCGCGTCTCTTCCTGCTATTCCTCGACCATGTATCGTTTCGCTTCTAACCTCGCCTCCAAGGCAAGGTAGGCCCTTTCACTTTTGTCCTGTTGGTTTGAATTGCATTGAAAGTTCACTCGAAATTGAAAGGAAATGGGTGAGTTGAGAAGAAAGATGATCTGGGTTTCATGGGTTTTTTTTCCATTTTCTCAATTCTTCGATCGATTTTGTATGTTTTTTCTCCCTGTGATTTATGGACTAACAAGAACGGTTTCCCCCCCTTCTGTTTTCTGTCCACAGGATTGCCAGAAACAGCCGCCAGGTAATTACGAAGTGTTCTTTGCATTTGAAATGCTGGTTCATGGATTTTATATTATGACAAATCATGTTTTTGTGTTGATCATTTGATGTTCTTTTTTGTGTGTGCGGTTCAGGTTTCAAGCAGAATGAGTTGGAGCAGAAATTATGCGGCGAAAGACATTAAGTTTGGGGTTGAGGCTCGGGCTCTGATGCTTAAGGGTGTTGAAGAGCTTGCTGATGCTGTTAGAGTCACCATGGGTCCAAAGGTAATAGCTTTTTAGCTTCTTCATCGCTTTTGCTTGTGCATTTTCTAGCTGGTTCGGACTTAATTTGGTTGGAGGTTTATTTCAATCCAAAATCAAACATTTGTTCGGGAGTTTTGAGTTTGGTGACAGATTGATTCGGTATCTTCTTAGGGTTCTTTCCTCTATTTACTATCATGATCATCACAATGAATGCCAATTTGCTCTAACAGCAATGTGACTGAAAGTCTGAAACTTTGTGATAATTACTTTCAAGGGACGCAACGTTGTGATTGAACAAAGTTGGGGTGCTCCCAAAGTGACAAAAGACGGTGTAACAGTGGCCAAAAGCATTGAGTTCGAAAATAAGGTCAAGAACGTAGGTGCCAGTCTTGTGAAGCAGGTTGCAAATGCGACAAACGATGTTGCTGGCGATGGTAAGCATTACCATTTTCGTTGTTCTTCACCTGTGGTTTTGTTATTTTTTTGTTGTAGGATAATTCTCAGGTTACTTAACTAAATCTGCTTTATGTGTAATTGCAGGTACCACTTGTGCAACTGTACTGACTCGGGCTATATTCACTGAAGGCTGCAAATCCGTTGCAGCAGGGATGAATGCAATGGACCTAAGGCGAGGTATTACAATGGCAGTGGATGCTGTGGTGACAAACCTGAAGAGCAGGGCTCGAATGATCAGCACATCTGAAGAGATTGCTCAGGTTGGGACCATATCAGCTAACGGCGAACGGGAAATCGGTGAACTGATTGCAAAGGCTATGGAGAAGGTTGGCAAAGAAGGTGTCATCACAATTCAAGTAAGTGGAATGGCTGAATAATGGCTTGTCTTCAAATTGATGCCTTGGCCAAGACGCTGTTTTCACACAGATCTCTCTCCTTGCAGGATGGGAAGACATTAACTAATGAGCTGGAAGTTGTCGAGGGCATGAAGCTGGACAGAGGTTACATTTCTCCTTACTTCATCACCGATCAGAAAACTCAAAAATGTGTAAGCCCATTTTGATCTTGTTGTTTGGGAGCTCAAATGAGCAATAAGTTTCTGTTTCTGTGGAATCGGGTTAGAATTTAAGTGAATCAATTCAATGATTTCAGGAATTAGAAGATCCCCTCATTCTTATCCATGAGAAGAAAATCTCTAGCATCAACGCTATAGTCAAAGTGCTGGAGTTGGCTTTGAAGGTATACATTATCTTGTTTAGTTATCCTTGCCCATGGCTAGTCCTGTCTGACACAGAGAATCATATATTATGTTGTCGCTTATGTGGGTTTGACATCTTTTATCCCCTCAGAGACAAAGGCCTTTGTTGATCATCGCCGAGGATGTTGAGAGTGATGCCCTTGCTACTCTTATCCTCAACAAGCTAAGGGCAGGACTTAAGGTTTGTACAGTTTAAGCTGTCAATTATGTCAGTAATCTCGGCTGATTTTAGGGATGCTAAGACCGGTAATTTCATCTCTGTAGGTCTGTGCCATTAAAGCCCCTGGCTTTGGAGAGAATAGGAAGGCCAATTTGCAAGATCTCGCTGTCCTTACTGGTGGAGAGGTAGAAAAATGGTTTCATCAAGTCGAAACTTGTGCACTTTATATAACTCATGCAGTAGATATAAAAGGGCAATATTTGTCTTGTTTTAGGTTATTACAGAAGAGCTTGGCTTGAACCTTGAGAAGGTGGATCTCAGCATGCTTGGCACCTGCAAGAAGGTATCTTTCTAAACATTAACTGATGTCTTTATTGATAGACCATTGTATTTCTTGAATTTCTTGGATTTGATTTTGATGCATGATGTGTTGTTTCAACTGTAGGTTACGGTGTCAAAGGATGACACCGTTATTCTTGATGGATCTGGGGACAAGAAATCCATTGAAGAAAAATGCGAGCAGGTTTGTTTTTTATACCCGGGCCTCGATCATTTTTGTGGTCAAACTATTCCAAAATATTAACTAGAATCAAATGAATGCTAGATGTAAAATATGTAATTGCTTTCTCGCTATTGCAATTTACAGATTAGGTCAGCGATTGAAGCGAGCACCTCAGACTACGACAAGGAGAAACTGCAGGAAAGGTTGGCCAAGCTTTCTGGAGGTGTTGCTGTGTTGAAGGTAAAATCCTATTACAATCTTTCTAAGCTCAATATAATGGAAACCCAGTTGTCTGGATAATCTGGGTTTGGTTGCAGATTGGAGGAGCGAGCGAGGCTGAGGTTGGTGAGAAGAAGGACAGAGTCACAGATGCTCTGAATGCCACAAAGGCAGCTGTAGAGGAAGGCATTTTGCCAGGTATGTTTACATTTCTGGTAAGAAACATTTGGACATAAAGCTCAAAAGTCATCCCTGGATGTGTTCAAGAAGCAACTTGGCTCTTTCAGGAGGAGGTGTTGCTCTTCTCTATGCATCGAAAGAATTGGAGAAACTTCCGACTGCCAACTTTGACCAGAAGATTGGTGTCCAAATCATTCAGAACGCGTTGAAGGTCCATCCTTTGGGCCTCTTTTCACAAACCATATCAGTTTTTAAATCATATATCGGCATCATAGATTTGGATGTTAATGTGGTTTATTTTATCGGATTCTGATTTCAGACACCTGTTTACACGATTGCTTCCAATGCTGGAGTTGAGGGTGCTGTTATTGTTGGTAAGCTCTTAGAGCAAGATAACCCGGATCTTGGTTATGATGCTGCTAAAGGTGAGTTAATAGTCCAAAACCATGTCCTGCATCATCTCTTTTTCTTTCCCGTTAAGATTCTAACATCGTGTTCATGAAAAACTAGGAGAATACGTGGATATGGTGAAAGCCGGTATCATAGACCCTCTGAAAGTGATCAGAACTGCTCTGGTTGATGCTGCTAGGTAAAGAAACGAGTTGCCCTCTCAGGCACTTTTTTTTTTTGGTTTCTAACTTTCAGCTAAAAACTTGCATCGTGTCATGTTTTTTTTGTCAGTGTTTCATCTCTGTTGACAACGACTGAAGCAGTGGTCGTGGAACTTCCAAAGGACGAGAACGAGAGCGCAGGTGCCGCAGCTGGAATGGGAGGAATGGACTACTGATGAAGAACATTGCTTCCTTTGACATTGCAATCAAATCTTAAGCTAGTTGTATCTGAACAAAACATTGATTATTTAAGGCTGTCTCCTAGATTCTTTAGTTGGAACTCTTTGTCTCAGAAATGGGTTTTGTCTTTTGACTAAAGGCATCATTTGTAACCATAAGAGAGGCCGAGGCCTGTTGTAGGAGTTTTTGCTGGGGGAACAATCTTCTTGTACGGAAAACGATAATCATTATGGGAGTTGATTTGTTATCTCTGATAATATATGGATGAACGCTTGAGTTCCACATCTTTCTTTGGTTTTACACGTTTCTTCACTAACTCAGCCTAAATTGTGGCCGTGGAAACTTGGTCAAATTGATAACAAAGTCCCACAAATGCAAATGTGGTGAAGAAGGGAAACAAAAACTGAAACTCTCTATTTTATCAGCCTTTTTTTTTCTCACTTGGAGCCCATTAACCAAAACTAACTGTTAATTACTCTGTTCCTAAACTTGTATCTAATCCTCTTCGTTGGCAATTTCTCCACCTATATATATATCTGACTTTCTGATTGAAAACTTTAAGCGTGTTTTTAGTAATCTTTTCTTTGGTAAGATGTTAGATTATTATGTAATGTTTCATCAGGACGCAAGAGAGATGCCAAATCCATTCCCAAAACTTCCCCACTTCAACAACTTCACAATCTCCAAGTGCAACAACTTCACAATCTCCTCGTTTGTTTAAAGAGCAATGCCAGACATCCTTGATTCTCATCCACGGAAAAAAAGATTCAACATTTCCCGCGGAAAGAACCAGTGGAGCATTCTGAGTATCGATATCTAAGATGATCAAGCAATCACCAGTTTCGATTTCTGCAGCAATCTTGTTTGCAGTTGCTATTTTCATGGCAACATCTGCAGAAGCTGTTGATCCTCCACCAGAAGTACCGGTTTTCGAGCTTTATATGCACGATATACTCGGTGGGAGCAGCCCTACAGCCAGACCCATCACAGGTTTGCTCGGGAATATCTACAATGGTCAGGTACCCTTTGCTAAGCAGATAGGATTTGTCCCGCCCAAAAACGGCATAGCCATCCCCAATGCAAATGGTGCACTTCCGACGGTTAATGGCCTCAATGGTGTGCCCTTGGGAACTGGATTGTCTGGTACAACCTTTACTGGGAACTCTGGTCAGAACCCGAATGGGATTCAGACACAACTGGGTCCTGATGGTCTTAGCCTTGGGTTCGGCACGATCACTGTGATCGATGATATAGTAACATCTGGTCCTGACTTGGGTTCTCAGCCGCTCGGTAAGGCTCAGGGAGTTTATGTTGCCAGCTCTGCAGATGGATCCACCCAGATGATGGCTTTCACAGCTATGTTTGAAGGTGGGGAGTACAATGACAACCTCAACTTCTATGGAGTTTACAGGATTGGAAGTGCCATGTCACATCTCTCTGTGACTGGCGGGACAGGCAGATTCAAGAATGCTTGTGGGTTTGCTGAGATTCGACCATTGATCCCGCCTGGTCAGCACGTTACAGATGGAGCAGAATCGCTGCTTAGGATCATCGTCCATCTGAAATACTGAAAAACAAATTTGTATTCTATAAAGATGTTAACTTTGTGAATGTGTGTGAATGACAAAGTTACCTTCTTGTTAATGCCACTGCAACTGGTTGGTGAAAGCATTCCACTTGATTGGCTCCGTTTTTGGTTCCGTGCCCTGTAGATAAAAAGAGAACTCGTGTTTTCGAATAGGTAAGAAATCCGGTTTGCCTGTACCTGTCAATTACTTAACCAAATAACCAATGTGAACCGGAGCCATTCCTATCCGGTTAAGAGAACAGAAGAAGAAAGAAGAAGAAGACCCAGAAAGAGCTCATGAGCCAAGAACCAAACAAGCAAATATGTTCAACCAATTTGGAGATAAAATCAAAGACAGTGATCTTGCTTTTTTGTTTTTCTTTTACAACAATCTCATCTGAGCTCAGATACATCTGGCTGGAACTTCTACCGATACAGAACTGCGAGAATTTTCGCAGGGGAGAAGACAAAACCTTCATGCTCATACAATCTACCTGTTATGAGAGAGAATCATTCGACCACACATTGGTGAGATTTGAACCAATCATCCGACAGTAACTGAACTATGCGTCTCTGAAGCCTGTCTGATCCAGGACCAGGACGAAGAACACCCGCATCACCCCAGATGGAACAGGAGCTAATATTGTTAGAAGAGTCAGCCAAGCACCACCCACCAGGCACAACTTCTTCACCTGGGTTGCGGCCAAGAAGTTCTTGATCGATGCGATCAAGAATTGGATCATCATGTCTGAATCCTCTCGCAAATGCTGCTCCACTTCCGACCATAGTTGAGAATTCTTTTGAATCAAGATGGTGGTATTTCTCCCGTGAAGTTTCGTTGCGAGCTAGATACAGTAAGTTGTGGTTAATAATGGTCTTTCTGAACTGATTCGAGCTGCAGAGGACAGTCGGGAAGTAGTTGGAGATTGAAGAGGGTGTATTGGACAAGTACATGAGTAGAGTTCGAGGGAAGTTGTCAGTGCCCAACACACAATGCTCGACGAAGTTACGGGTTAAGATGGAGAAAGATGGACCTGCAGAAAAGAACAACTCTTGTTAGTTTTCCATCAAGGTTTATATTATTTGCTCTTTTAGCTGATTACAGACAATATTGAGACTATGCAATGAAAAATCTCCTAGTTCATGCAACATCCATATGTCATCTTAAAAGTGAATCTTTTCGATAAGCTCCACAAATCAAATTAAAAGGAAAGTGTCAGTAACACATTGCCTAGCTGACATTTCTGACTTCTGATGACTCTTGAAACAATCCCAGATTGTGTTATTTGGCTGGCAAAGGGACATGGTTTCCACTTCTAACACAGAGCAATGATCCCACTCTCCATCAGTACAAAACCCATACATATACAAACACACACATATGTATAATGGCGGCATCGTAATGTTCCTCAGCTTCAGAAACATAGAACCACATACACACATAAGGAAATAAAATATTTTTCTAACAGCAAGGTTTCAATCCCATATCAAAGTAAGTTGTCCAATCAAATAAGAAAATCTTTTAATAACATATCTGCTTCATGTTTTGTCCTTTTTGCTCTTAAAAATTGAGAAACGTCAGAGTTCTAGTTCAAAATGTCCTAATCATGAATTCCAATGCCAAGCCTAAAATTTCCTTGTGAACGTGTAAGCATTTCTTTCCACAGTTCAAGGGTCATTATCATATTTCTTTGTTTTCTCAACAGATCATGAAGAAATGGATCACAGGAACAGGTTGCATTTTCAGTGCCCTTTATGCTTCAAATAAGGTCTGGGTCAAAAGAGTTTTGAAAAGATTTTGCCTACGGAAAGGTAAAATTAGTAAAGGAAGAGAGTTTTACAAAAGAACTCTAGGGACTTGTAATTGGTTTTCTAATGTTTTATCGAATGCAATTCCACAATGCATTATATTACACGTTTAGCATGAGAAGATATGCAACAGGAAAATATGCAGCTTTTAATTCTATTATGGCTGATAAAACTCCACTCAATACTGATCCACATTAGACAGTTCACTAGATAAATCTAGAATGTAACCTCTACAGTTGAACTCGAGCTTCCATCTAACAAGCTAGTTTGATGCTCAGCCTAAAGAAACAAAAACTAAGCAGTTCTTGTACTGACACAAACACAATCATGGTCATTAACAGACAAGAAAATTGTTTCCCAAAGATCCAACCAGAAGTGCATAAAACCAGAGGAAAGAACACAGAAAAATGTAATAAACGGCACAAGGAGCATACCTGAGAATAACCTGAACGCCTTAGGCAACTCCCGCTTCTGAGTAGCATAAAACATATCGGTTTTCTCCACGAGATAGAGCCCAGGATCAACTATAATTGGCTTCAACCTCCTAGATCTACACCGCAAAACAAAGCCTCAATTTTCTCGAACTAAATTGCTCCTGGTCTAAGATTCCCAAGAACCAACAAGTCTAGTCTTGGTGATATACATGCAGTCTATAATACTAATGGTCTCAAAGTTGAATCAGAATGGGGACAAATTCGTTGAACAAAACTTGCATGAAAACAAGCAACAATGAGCTTTAAACCCAGTAAATTCACCATAATCAGATTCAGGAAGTGAAATAGAATCATACTCTCTCCAGCCAATGTAGCTTGTATGGTTCACAAAGTTCAATTCCTTCGGCAAATGCGACAAGATGTGAAGAAAGTCTGCAAAACCCAAATTGCAAAATGTAAATGAAAGCCTCGAAACAGAAGAAATCCGAGCAGACGAATTGGAGAAATTGCAGAGGAAAAGTAACCATCTTGAGTAACGAGAGGGTAATCATCCGCCCTGAGATTGATAAACCAATCCCAGTTGCTTGACAATCGGAGAAGAATCGAAGCGCCGTGAAGCGTGGAAGCCATCGGAGACGACCCTTTCTGGTACGCGAAATCCGGTTTTCCGACAACGTCGAAATTCCCGGCGGCTTGGAAGATGGGTACGGCGCGTACGAGAAAAAAAATCAATTTTTTTCCTTTTAAAAATTTTGGCTTTAAAAAATCATTTTCAAATTACTAAATATTTGGATTTTACATTTTAAAATAATTGTATGATGTTTATTATTTCTTAATCGTTGTTAATTTGCCACTAAACAGTGATTATCAACGCGCCCCCACGCGCCACGTTCAAATAAACCGAAAGAGCCTCTGGTCGGGTCCGGGGCCGTCGGATCGATCGCCGGAGGAGGGGGTGGTCGCGGTGATGGAGAGAGAGACAACGAAGCAGAGGGAGACGAAGGCGGTGGTGAGGATGACGAAAAGGGTCGTTCGGGAATGCTCCTTGGAGACGGTAGAACTCACGGGCGGCGCGTGCAGCATTTTCACGGCGGCGCGTGAGGTTAAAGTTTGGATTTTTCTCCTTTCCCCTTTCTCTCCCTTCCAAAGAAAGCAACCGGAGAGCAAATGGTCACTCGATTGGGCTCGAGGGGTTGGTTACAGAGATAATAAATGAAGTGGGTGAAGCTGCCTGAATTGAGAACATAACCGTTTATACGCTTCAAAGCTTTAAAAGGCTAAAGCTTTAAAAAAAACATTACCATAATAAAAATCATTTCTTTCTATATTCTCTGATACAACAGAATCTGAAATTTCAATCCACTGAAATCTGAAACGAAAACCACAATGGGCGGTTTTGTTCGTTGCCCATGTTTTGTACGGACGGAGAACTAAAGAGATCCAACAATTCCGAGGCTTGTGAATCTCTGGAGTTCAGTCATTTTTCGCCGGAGCTTCTTAGCCGGAATCTTCCGGTTATCGTCTCAGGTAACGTGGAAGAATCCGAAGAATGTGGCCGCCGCGAAAACCAGGAACAGAGCTCCTCTCAAGTAGCCAACCTGCAAGAAAAAAGAGGTGAATTTTCGCTGTAGTTGGCAGGAACAACAGTCATTATTCCTCCTCGTACAGGTTTCTCGAGCGGGGTTGAGAGCCTAATCGAAACCTGAAACCACAATCATGGCCACAAATATTCGTTGAGGGTCTTCAGAAGGGAAGAAATCACGAAAGAAAACGGTGAAAAACCGACAAATCCATCAAGTTCCTGACCGCCTGTCCCGACGTTCTTAGCCAAAGAACAGTAGCAAACTCCATAAAATGGCTTTATTCTGCTCTGGGCGAAAGACATAACCGAAATGAATAAGCCAAGCCATGAAGAAGCTTACTTGTTTAGAACCTGAGAAGGTACAGGTCGAAAAATCTTCCCGGTAACAACTGACAAGATATAGTCGTCAGAGATAAAGCTCCCATTGAACCTAAAAGACTCATTTCAAGAAATCCATAATCACCAATAAAAAAAACAGAAGTCGAATCGGGAAATCGAGAGAAAGAAGAAAGCTTTTCTTGGTGTAATCGATACCCTTCTCCTGGGCCTCGCAAGTTCATAAGAATCCCGAGGAAACAAAACGCTTAGTTACGAAGAGAGCATCCATGGTGGAATTTAAGAGAGAAACGCAAATTCGGTGAGGATAAGAACTAAACAAAAGAGAGAGAGAGAGAGAGAGAGAGAGAGAGAGAGAGAGAGAGAGAGAGAGAGAGAGTTAGAACATAAAGTACCGTGTTTTCTCGCATTTCATGGCCAAGGAAGCAGCGATAAAAAAGGTATAGCAACAAAAAACCACATCTATGAGACCACAATCCTGGTTAAACAAAGAATAAAATTGGTACAGACAATTATATAGAAGAAAAAAGTCATACGGAAAAAATGGTAGTGAGAAGGCAGCAGTAAGCGAAAATACCAAACCACAGCTTAGTAGTATGAGAGCTATAGATAGCGAGCGGGTAAGGGATCCGGCCTTGAGGTTTTGAGCTGCAGGATCAACGAATATAGAAACATTAGGTGATGTGATGGTGGAAATGCCTATATAGCATGCATATGAGATCGATTATTCTTAATCAAATTCACGAGTAGACATTGCATGCCTAAATTACCGGAAATAACTGTAGCTTCCATTGTTAACGAAAAGAAGATATTGAGGAAGGAAACGTTCACAACTCACTTCTCTGATGAGCTATCTTGAGTTATTGATGACTAAGAGAACTACTCTGAGATCCATTTTCCTCCCCATCCATCACCAACAAAAGCTGCCCGGGCCAACTCCAGCATTTGATGCTCGATCTCTGAATTTGCAGCATATCGGAGTTTCCAACATCGGCCTTCTTCTAGATCTTTACTACAGATTAGTCAGCCAAATCGAAATTCTCATCACTCAATAACCCCATTGTAGACATCATTCAGATAAAAATAGCAAATTCCAAAACTTGGGGAGACAAAAGAGAAAGCCAATAACGTCTCATCTCAGCATAAACCGCACTACCCCGAGTGAGCAGAGCATAAATGATCAGTATCCCGAGTCACTAGGCTCGATCACGAAAATGAGCCCGAGAACAGGAATTGTTACCCAAATTGGGGTTTATTGGCTGGAACCAAGGTTAACATCTCATATGACGAAGTCTAGTGATCTGCAGAATCTAACAAACGTCCTAGATCACACAAATTGCCAAACACATATGGATAAGTACAAAAAACCCAGAACTCCTTATCTGGGTTTCATGAGATACATAATGCACAATTTCGTAAATATACTCTCAACAGGATATCTACGATTCTGGCTTGATTCCATAAACCCTAAATCGAACCTTTCCATTCGAAAAAAGATGAGAAATCCACCCGCAAACAACATTCTTTGATTCAATCCACAATGGAAGTGAGCAACTTACAAAAGGGTGGAGAATTGGGTTTGGACAAGACAACGAATCAAACACAGACAACAAAGGAAGTTCCTGTCTTGAAGACACAACTGCTGCTCCGCAAATATCACTCTGCTTCTTATAACTCCAACTACTTCCATGGTGTTGCTCTGATCCACGAGAAGCAGAAAATTTTAGTGACCCATTTGCCTGTGAATTCTGCTCAGTATCTTAAATCCGATAATCCCTCGAATTTCTTCCTCACTGATTGTTGTTGGGGTTTTTGCAAGATCGAGACTTTATTGATGGAGACGAGATAGGATTCGAAATACCCTCTCTTTGTTGTGTCTCAGAGCTATGGCTCTGCCACGTGGCAGAGGTACACAGACAAAACGTTGCCGTATTAGGCATATACGCTCGAGGACATGACATGGTCACTCCATACATACATACATACATACGGTGAGAATTCGGATTTAAAACTGTCACTATGAAAAGAGCCTTTGTTTTCAACAACTAAATCCATTGTTTGCGATCCTCTAATTAGATTCTGGAAGATTAGATTTCGATTCTTCAAATTTTATAAGGTAAAATCACATCATAATAGCAACTAAATTAAATTATAATCGCGTAATTGTTACGATTCTCTAATCACATATATATATATACGCACAATTTTTTCTTTTAATATGTAAAGAATGAATGATTCGATTTCACGTTATAATGTTTCCGTTTGTAGTGCGCGTAAGATCATCTCCGCTTCATGCGGTGGCTTTTAGCATAGTCAAAAAGATTGGGCACACGTGTCAGTTCCTTATTCGTTAACCACATACGCCCTCGAATCCTATTGGACGACGTGCATCACCCCATATTTTCATAGTCCCGATATTGCCCTCCGCTTTTTCTCTATCTACGTAAATGTCATCATCATGACAGTTCGTATTATTTAGAAAAAAAAAAAGAAAGAGAAAAAAATTAAACACAGAAAAGTATTCGATCAGGCCTCTATCATAAGTACGGTCGATCTTCCTTCCATATCTGGGGTCCACATGTCATAAGACAATGCCACCCCTTGCTTTCCATTGAAATTACGTTTCTGCCATGGGATCAGGCCGTTGATCTTTGGTTGCACGTTAACGGACGTGTAGCGCGAAGCAGGTGATTACAACGCCACTAATACATACGTTATAGGAAAGGTAATTTCAAAAGGGGAAATAAAAAGCCAAAATTCATTTTCGTGACATACCCTTCCCCACTTCCAACCAAAATAAATAAAAATTTAAAAAAAAAAGGGGATAACCCTAACGCCGTTGTGATATTTGGGGAGGAGAGAGATTAAAGGCCCCCTTTGTTCTTCGTCAAAACGTTTTCTCTCTCTACGAAACAGCGAATGAAATCAATGGAAATTGAACCATTCATCATGGATGACCTTCTGAACTTCTCCGTCCCGGAGGAGGACGACAACGAAGAGGACGAGGCGGCGGAGGTTCGGCCTCTGGCGATGAAAACGTTGTCTCGTCGGGAAAAAATTATCCGGTCGGCGGAGTCATTCGGCCTTATCGGCCCCGACGACCCCGTAAGTCTCCAAATCATCGCGCGTTCTGTTTCTCTCTCTCTCTCTATCTTTCTCTCTATAAGGTGAGCGTAGCCATTTTGGTCTGACGGACTCCACTTGACTCGGCGGAGCGGGCTGAGTCATGACCGAGTTTCCGGAGGTGGTCTGGTTGACCCAGCCGGGTCAAAAGTCGGAAAACGCGTTTTTTCCCTTGGGTGGGTTAACGTGCACGTCATGTGGGGACGGTTGCCGGTTCGTTCCGTTGTAAAATGACGGGTTTGCCCTTGATATATCTTTTGTTTTAATTCGTCAAACTTGTTTTCCGTGGCTGGGTTGGTTGGAGGGTATTTTCGGAATTGCGTAAACATTACCGGTTGGGTCATTGTTTTGTGAGCTGTTTCTCACATGATGGTGAGCTACCACAATAAATTTCAACTTTTCTTTTTTGAATTTAATTTTATTATTCCCGCACCTATTTTCTTATTCCACCGAAAAAGAAAAAAAAATCTTATTTCTCAAATGACGAAATTGCCCATCCAATTGACCCGGTCGTCCCTGAACCGGCTACTTGCCACCCCTATTGGAAAATTGGCTTTCATGGCTTCTCGCCCGAGTCACCGAGTCGAAGCGGACGAATTAGCCAGTCAACTCTGTCTGACTGTTTTTTTGTTGGCAAATTGACAGGAATTGGTTGAGGAAGAGGATTTGGAATGGATTTCGAACAAGGATGCATTCCCTGTGATCGAAACGTTTGTCGGCATGTTGCCGTCGGAGCAGCATGTCCGACTTACCTGGCCGGAGCAAGCGTCGGCTAAGCAGCTGAGTCCGGTTTCCGTTCTCGAGACGAGCAGCCACAGCCACAGCTCCGCCACTCTCACGACGACGGCGACAACCACCAACAGCAGCGGCTCCTCTAACGGGAGCGCCGCGGCGGTGTCCGGTGGCGCCGCTACGACCGTCATGAGCTGCTGCGGAGGCCTCAGCGTGCCGGTGAAGGCCAGGAGCAAGCGCCGCCGCACAGGACGCCGCGACCTCCGCGGACTGTGGACGCACCGCGAGCAGACACCGCCGAGGAAGAAGCCGGCGTCGACGCTGGGGAGGAAGTGTACGCACTGTGGTTCGGAGAAGACGCCGCAGTGGAGGGCGGGACCGTCGGGGCCGAAAACGCTGTGCAACGCGTGCGGCGTCAGGTTCAAGTCCGGGAGACTGGTTCCGGAGTATCGTCCGGCGAACAGTCCGACGTTCTCAGCGGAGGTGCATTCGAATTCTCACCGGAAAATCATTGAAATGAGGAAGCAGCGGCAATTAGGAGTAGCGTCAGCGCCGGCGACCGGGAAGACTGTGGATAAAGGGTAGGGCTTTATTCTTTTTTCTTTTTTAAATTTTGTCGAACCCTTTTTTTTCATTTATTTTCTCTTCCTTTTTTTAATTATGTTTTAAGGGATTTTTTAGGGTTTTGTAGTTGGGATTTAGGTCTTTTTTTTTTCCTTTGTGAAATTAGGGTAATTAGGGGATATTATATTTAAATCAGTCGTTGGTAATCTTCTTGTTTTAAATTTTAATGTTTCTATGGTTATTTTTTTCCCGAAAAAGAAAAGATTGAACGCCGAATCTCTTTTTTTTTTTTTGTATATTTTTCTCAGAACTGGAATCTTTTCTTTTGTTTCCTAACAAGAAATTTCCTCCCTTGTATTTTACTTTTGTAGCTTTAGCATTACCCAATAGTTGTTGAAGAGCTCTAATAAAATAATGCAAATCCCATAATTAAAAAAAAAACTAAAAAAAAGTGTAAAGATTGATATAAATTTATGATTATAAAGCTTAAGAAATAATGAATATTCTAAATATATGATTAAGCCAATTTTTTTTTATAATGAATAACACGAAATCACATCAATGGGTTGGGTTATAACAACAAAATTAGAACTAACTTCTCACCTAACAATGATAATGGTAAGAAGAATCCAAACATGTTACCATTGAGACAGGGGCAGTTGGACTGCTTTAGGTTAGACATTAATACAACAAACCTAATATCATACAGCCTTATTATACAGAATCACTAATTAAATTATTGATTTTTTTTCAAGAGGGATTAAGTGTTTAAAAGATTTTTTGGAAATATTTCATATAATATGCATTCAAATAGATCTAGAAAATTTTATTATCAAGATAATAATAATAAATAATGATAGTTTGGTTGGTTTTAATAATTTCATAGAAATTAATGTAAGTAGTGTATATTATATAAATGGACTGAATGTGGTCACATGGAGATTTGGTGGGTGGGGGTGATTGCACATGACGAGTCTTTGGTCGGATTCTACGGACTTGAATTGGAGTAGGCCATGGAACATGGTCGCGGGATCTATTTCACTTTTATATTCCCTTATTTAAAATATATATATATATATTTTACGTATATAATCACATGCGTAATTGCATGCGTATGTATATTTGTATATATTGAAGTGCAAGTGTAAATTCAAACACGCATAATAAAATGATCATATGATAAGCGACCTCAATGTATTGTATAAGATAGTATTATTAATATTTGTTCGTGTTCATCTTGTTATATAGCCGATTTATATTCCCTTCGTTTATTTATTTTTTCTTGTGTTTGTCTATATCTTTAATATACGAATGGTGATTAGAAATTCTGCTATTCTTCATTCTATGTATCTTTCTATACGTTTTTTTCGTGGTTAATGATCGGTTTTTTCATACTTTTATGACAATTGTATATTTTGAAGATGCGAGCAAATATTCAATATTTAATACGATACATGAATCACTAAACCAGATTGTCCGAAAATATGGATAATTAACGTGTTTCAAATATTAAAATATATTTATGTTTTTATATTAATTAACTATTATTTCCTTTCTCTTTTGACACATTTTCACTCATTATTTTGATAATAGTCACCAATTTGTAAAGGTGTCAATTTAGATTCGTTACAGAAAATTAACAGGTTGAAAAAAATCGGATTTTTGGATCGGGCTTCGGACTCGATTCTTACCGATCCGAAAGCCTGATATTTTTTAAAAAAATATTTACAAAGGAAATTATTTTGAGTCCGAAATATATAGGGTCGGATTTCGGACTTAATTATGTAGACCCAAAAATATTGGATCGGCCCAAACCTGATCCCAAAACATTTGAAACGAGTGCGGACTCGGATTGGGTCGGGTCGGACTGGTCGGTTGACACCTTTGGACATTATATCAAAAACTTTAAACTTAAATAGCTTAGGCCCATCATAAGCAAAAAAAAATGGCTTCCACATTGGGCCTAAACTAATGATTTTGGTCCAAAACCTAATTCTTCTTCCATTTTTTTTAAACTTATGAGAATTAGGGTTTGAATGGCAAAACTATATTTGAGCAGAGGATCTAGATCAGGCTTTTCTCGTATTTTATATCAAATATGAATGTTAGAATATTGACACCGTTACGAATTAGTGGAATAACAATGATCCTATTCGTTATTATTCTAATCTCTTAAATAACCGATATATATATTTATATATATGTTTCGAAACAGTTTTTTTTTTTTTAAACAGAGGAATTTGTGGAAAGACAAGACAGAAACAACATAAAAACTAATTGAACAACGCTTCTGCGCCTTCTCCTCCTCATCGTACAACGTTGGAAAATGTTCCACCTTTCCTACTGAGAAGCAAAAGCCAGAGGCTGCTACCTTCCTCTCTACCACAAGGTTAAGGTTGAACCAGTGAAACCAAAAAGAAAACAAAAACTCAAGAAGAAGAAGAAAACCAGTGTGCATGTAAGGAAATGTTTTTAGAGTGTGGAGGGGGTTCTGCCCTTTTGGCAGTGGAGAGCTCCGGCAGTAGAGGTTATAGTCCCGACCATGGACGAAGGCTTAGCCGTCAAGCTTAACGCACGTGCGTAGCTGGTTGAAGAATGCTCCGTTGAGTAGAAGGTCTCCTTCCGACCTCGAGTTCCATCTCTTCCAATCGGCAAAATAGCAAAAGTACCTTTACTTTGCTACAAAGACTTCATGATATACCCTTTAAAACCCTAAAATTTTGAAAAAAAAAAAATAAAAGGAACAAAAGACATAATTAACCCTTTCACAAAAGTACCGTGATACTCCTCTTTGAATTCATCTCTCTCATTTTCATTTTTTGATAACTCTTCATTTCTTTCTTAACTTTCTCTCTCCACTCTTATCTTTCTCTCAATTCTTCCATTTTCTCCCTTCTCATTTCATTTTTACACATAGAAAAACAAACGAAAAATGATTATTTCGTTGAGCATATCTTCACCGACGAGCTCATATCTTCTTCTTGAGTCGGTCTAAGATAGAACAAATGACAAGAACTGAAGGTAAGTTCATTAATACAAGAGATTGATTCGATGCATAAACTTTGTGTTTTGTGTTTGAGTTTTATGATTTTTAAAATGAATCGTGTGATTTTTGATGAAAATAGGACATGCATAACAAATCTGTCCAAGAATATGCAAGAGGCGCATATTTAATTTCAAATAAATATTCAGAGCGATAATGGAATGGATTGACAATGAAAACAAATGTGTTACATTGGTTACACCGTCTAAAATTTAATTTTGGTCACACTGGTCACGCAGGTCACACTGGTCACACTAGTCACATTGGTCACACTAGTCACACCGTTCAAAATTTAGTTTTGGTCACACTGGTCACACTAGTCACACTGGTCACACTAGCCACACTGGTCACAGCGTTCAAAATTTAGTTTTGGTCACACTAGTCACACTGGTCACTTGGTCACACTGGTCACACCGAAATTTTTTTAAAATTCACGCGAAAATTTTAATTTTTTGTGATGGAGGGAATTTTAAAAATTTTAAAATATTTAAATTTTTTTCTAGGGAACCGAAAACTGTTTTCTCTCTCTTCTGTTTCTGTCATTGGATCTCACACCAATGGGTATTATGAGAATAACATAATTATAAATGTATGTTTTGAACTAACTTTTTATTTTTATTTTTGCAGGGGTATGCCTTGAAGTCTTCTTTGCAGCATAATAGGGGTATTTTTGATAAAAACCCCTTCCAATCTCTACCCTCTTCTCACCTGTCTCACATGTATTATAGATATATACGAATGCGTTAATGTTTTGTTGTTACCCTGCACTTCTCGACAATGCGAGAGGTTAAGTAAGAGAATCGAAACCTCCTTGGCGAAGCGGTTATCGGGTGCCGAGTATCGATTCCCCTGGCTGTTGATGGTGGGTTCTGCACTTCCACCTATGGCATACATCTCCCAGTATGTTTTATCGTTGTTCACCACATGAAAATACCCGTGCCTGCACCTGCGTATATCGGCTATATATGTTATCATGTGTATCTTAGCGCACAAGTGTGTTTTAGCAATGATCTCATCTGTGGAAGCTGTGTTGCATACATCAGGTTTTACCTCGGCATCCTCTGGACCAGTCCCTCTCCAAAATGGTTGTAAGCAATGGTCACTTGCATCTGCCTGTCCCTTGTGTACGAGTCGCTGTGCCCTAGCAACATGACCTGCCCATAACAATGTCATGACAAAGATTTTTTTTAAAAAAAAATGGCGGAGGGAATGTAAATGTAAATGGTTCATGACCTGGAAATGGCAATGGCAGCGTCGACAAGTCCATCGGCACAGTTTGAGAGGGAGTTGTGATCAATCCAGACGTGGCTTGACCCGAAAATGGACACTGCATCACCATCAGAGAGAGAATGAACATCAATGGAGACAGAAGGAGAGAGAGAGACCTGGAGCGAGATATTTCGTTGTTTTGGAGATTCTTCGCTGCCAGAGCGCAGATGACAAGGACGAGGAGCACAGCGAGGAAAACACTGGTCCATTTCCGAGACGACGACGCCATTGCAGCTTCTCCTTCTCTCTCACTCTCTCTGTACTTTTTCTGGCTAGGTCGTGAAATTCTCTCACTTTCCCTCCGTCCAAACAGAGCTCGGCGACAGGAGAGAGAAAGAAGGAGAAGAAGCAGAGACGAGTGACGCACGCTCCTAGGAAACCGTATATATATATATATACACGAAACGGAGGAAGACGTACGTCGCCGTTCATTAACTCTGGTTAGGTTCACATTCTCACCGTCCCTTTCTTTCTTTTAACCCTATTTCTAACGCCGTAACTGTAACCACACTCTCACAACTGCCGGTAACCGCCCCATCTCTCGTGTCACACCTCCGCATTTATAAGTTTAGGAAAAATAAATAACTAAATCGACCGTGTCAAGTGAAATCATTACAATCACAACAAAAAAAATTATAAAGTACCAATTAATCTTATAAGAAAATTATCACCTCATTTTAATTCTAACATAACCTACCGACTACAATTTTCAAATATAACTATAGATTCTTAAAACTATGTTCAAACTTTATTCTACATTTTATTATACAATTACATAAATTTAATCTAAACCCTTTTCTACTCATGTTTTAATCATATAGTTTAAAATGACGTATTTTTTTACATGTGAGTGTAAAATACCAAAAAAAAAAAGTTAAATATTTTATAATATGGGTTAGAATATTTGTTCAATATAATTCGATATGAGTTCTCCATTTCAAAAAAAAATCATATACCAATGTGCTTTTTGTAAATGGTTAAATAATAATAAATGTATTTATATTAAAGCATGACAATGTATCGAATTTTGATGGGATTCTCCTTTTTTTCAATCGACAGAATTATATCAAAACATACTCTTTAGAAATAAAATAAAGGAGGGAAAAAGGCATGGGATTATTAGTTTATCGGGTGAACCTAATTTTAACCGACGGACTAACGAATTGACGGTAGGAAAAAATGCCACGTCAGAAAGGTCGTGAGAGTTAGGGTGGTTTCCGTACGGAAGACAATTGGTCACTGGTTTTATACCGTATTTAACGGGAATATCAAAGTCTCAATCCTCAAAACTTTATTCCAGATTCTATTATTTTTTTCTTATTTCGGGTTTCTATATTAAAGAAAAATTACACTGTGTATTTTATTTTAATGTTATATTTAGGCATAGTTTTAGTTTTCATTAATGATTAAATCTTTTGAATTTTGTTTTATATCAGTTTTATTTTTAGATAATTTGATATAAAAAATATAATATATAATTAGTTAGATATGAATGTTTATCAGTTTTTGAAACCTTTCTTTACAGTCATTCAATTAAAAAATATTATATTAGTAATAATCGCTAATTGTAATGAAAAACGTAGAATTCAAGTATTCCAATATGAGAAATGATGAATTATATAATTAGTTTTATTTTTTAGTATAAAAGATTTTTTTTGGAAAAATTTCATATATTATATATGTTATCTGAAGCCCCTAATAAATATATAAAAAATGTTTAAAATTGAAAACATAAGCATATGTTTTTTTTTTAATTCTACTGAGATATTGTTAGTTATCTTCCAACATAAACTCTTTCCAAACTAAATTCACGAAATTCGAGTTAGTTAGTTATGTGTTTTGTAATAATTAGAATCTATTTTTCCAGAATTTTTTTTTGTAAGATTTTCTTTGGTAAGATGGTAATTACTAATTACTTACAACTCTAATTTCTACTGTTCTATTTTGTAATAAAATATAGAGAAAATCGCCAAAAAAATTATGTACTCTTCACATATCGACAAAAAATCTTATACTTTTTTTATTACCAAAAAAATCTTGCACTAATACTTATTCACCTAAAAACCCTATACTTATACTTATTCGCCGAAAAAACCTTGTACTCTTACAATGTTACACCAAAAAATCATGTACTTTTTTTATTACCAAAAAAACCCTATACTTATAACTTATTCGCAAAAAATATCTGTATTTTATAAGTTCTAGCAAATAAACACTTAAACGCAAACGCCCAAAAAATTCGTAAAAAAATCTATCTGAACCTAATCCAACTGATATATACTCGAACCGAATCGAACCGATTAAAATAATATACCATATTGGATATGAATATTTTAAATCCGAAATAACCAAATCTGAAATAATTGAACCGAATCTGACCAACATAAATCCAATCTGATATATTTTAGATTCAATTATTTTAGATTCGGTTATTTTAAAAATATGATATTTAAATAAATACAGTGATTTCGGATTTGAAATTTTAATCGATTCGATTCGGTTCTGGTATATATCGGTTGGATTAGGTTCGAATAAATTTTTTACCATATTTTATGGGTGTTTGTGTTTAGGGATTTATTTACTAGAATTTAGAAAGTACAGATATATTTTGGCGAATAAGTTATAAGTATAGGGTTTTTTTAGTAATAAAAAAATACAGAGTTTTTTGGGCTAATATTTTAAGAGTATAAGGTTTTTTAGGCGAATAAGTATAAGTACATAATTTTTTTGGTAATAAAAAAAGTGTAGGGTTTTTTTGTCGACATATGAAGAGTATATCGTTTTTTTGGCGATTTTTCCTAAAATAAATGTAACAGAGCAGACCTTCTATCAAATAAACGATTATAGAATATGAATTTAGTTTTTAATAAAATAAGTTAAACCCTGATTTTTAATCATGTATACATAGGTATGGTAAAATGAAAATTTGGAAAGATCGTGATTATTTTGGAACAAAATGCGCTCATATAGTGAACGATAAACCCTAGAAAATGACGGGTTATATAAAGCTTAACAAAGATTAGTGAAATATAATATCACCAAAATTAATTAGGAAGTTTAAAAAATTCAATTAAAATCATATCGATCCAATCTTTACTTCTTCGGTGGGCTTGTCGGGAGCATGGCTTATGTTCCCTCATGCAAACTACCAAGCGGGACCAATCATGGCCATTTCTAGGGTGGATTTTCGAGTAATCGAACCGTACCGAATTGAATATTTTGATATTTTTTAATTATACCATTAAAATTTCCGAACGATATATTTTTTATAGAATCGATTTTTTCAAAACCGAACCGAACTTTTTAAAATTCGCGAAAAATCGATTTTAATAAAACAAATCTAAATTTTTTTTAACAAAATCCGAAATTGAACTGTATCAAAACCGGAATCGAACCGAACCAAATAATATATGGTACTAATTTGATACAAATTTTAGAATACCGAATAAATCATTCTCGAATTGAATCACTAAAATTCTGAAATAAATCTCGAAACGCCCACCCCTAACCATTTCCTCACGGTCACACAATTGTCTATATCGAATTTACAATTTCAACCTTGTGACCAAAAGTGCACCAACAAAAATATTTTTTGAACTCTTCCGTGGGATTAATGGAACAATTTTTTTTGTTTAATTTGCTAAATAGAGACGAACGAATATTATTTTAAATATATAAAGATTAAATGTGTCTATTCATAATTACAGGTTATTCAATACGCCTCATGATCTATCCAAAACAATACTTTTTTTAATGGGTTAGAGGACATCATATATTCTATTTAGATATCGATATTTTCGATATGGATTAATTATATTTCTGATTTCGTTATTTCTATTTTTTTAATTTATAAAAACTAAATTAATTTGACTTTTATATAAGTTTTCCATTCGATTTAGACTTGGAAGATGCGATAGGATCTTTTTCACAGTACAATCCACAATTGAACCCAAATTATTGTTACAAACCCCTCAACAAAGTCTATAACACGATCATCCCGCCGCATTTTCGAAATAGTAACGTACGATATCCCAATTATAAAGAATAAAAATATCATATTTATGAATAGTAATATATTATGGTATAATAATATGAACATGGTCTAAATTTAACCTAAACTTGCCATTGAAACTTCTAATTTTGGTGAATGACGAAAAAAAAACACCAACAAGAACGAATATTTATCGGTAACGCTACTGTCTCTATATATGTTCCATGAAATGATTATCGTGTTTTGTTCATTTGGACTGGTTCTTGGATTATTCTTTGTGAGGCCACAAGGTTAATGGATTTTTGTATCTTTTATTTGAATTTGGCACGTTTTTCCGGTCTTGTTTTCTACTTAAAATAATTTTCAATTTTACCCTTAATTAAAACTATTACAATTTCAATAAACTTCTAATAATAATGTAGTTTTTATCATTAAAACTATATTAAATAAAGGTGTATCATACTTTTTTTTTTTATATTTTTTAAAAAAATATGAAAAACTCTAAAACGACAATTATTAAAAAGGAGAGAGTAGTTTTTATATATAAAAAAAAATCAAATTAAACAAATATCGAAAACACACCAAACAGTTGAATGAGAATGAATCCAAATTAGATCTAAATCTCATCGAAAATTGGTATATAAAAAATAACTACAACAAACCATAATTAAAACCGACATATATATATATTCCTAAATCTCTTACACCAATTGGTCAGAATCAGATCTTGACTTAAAATCCATTATTGTTAATAGAAAATAGTATAAATTTATTTTTGGAAAAAAAAAGCAACAAAATTTACGAATGTAAACTCGTATAAGAAATAATTTGATATTTTTGGAACAAAACATGGACTTTTTCAACAAAAAAAAAAAAGGTGAAGAGAGGAGGAACATTTCACGTAGGGTTGGGAGTTGGGGGACACATCGTATTAACTCAAAGTCAGTTCTGACACTCCGATTTAATTACCGTCTCAGACATCTCAGGGCCAAATCCAACACTCCACAAAAGAGACACAACATTAACTGACTGGCATATATGTGTGTGTATATATATATATATATGTGTGTGCGTGTGTATATATATGTGCATGTGTATATATGTATACACAAACACACTTCCGTATACACTCGAATCCCTTTTATGTGTCTCTGATCAACATGATGATGTTCGAATGATGGAACATTGGTTTAACTCATTGATTGTTGATGGAAGATCATCATAGTCTAATGATATATATATATGTCTTGGAAATCATTTGTGTAGTTATGACGGATTCCTTCTATATATATATACACATACATATATATAAATATATTAAGAGTTTTTTTTTCATAATTAATTTTTTAGTACTAGAGATTCCTAGTAGAATAAGAACGAAATCAAAATCAGATCACAAGATTTACTTGGAAAATCTAACCATTTTGGTTTTAGTGAGAGATGCTTAATGTGGGGTCCAAAGTTTCATTTACTTCAAATGAAAAATAAACCCTAAACATATATATATATATATATAATGAAAGCTTGCATCACAAATAAAAAGCGATGACATGGTATATGAAAATAAAGAAATACGTATTTTACGATGAAATTGTTTGCTACATTATAACTGAATCTAGTCTTCTAAATCTTATCATCAATTATAATTATATTATTATTGAACCATACATTTACAATTATATCCGTCCTTCTTATATATATATATCGCCGCTTAATATAATTCCGATATAAATCACCATTTACTAGGTATCATCGCAACCTCGATGAACAAAAAAAATATTATATTTTCAGAATTTATATACACATTAACTGAGTGATGCCGAATAATCAAGAACAAAATTAATCAAACGAAACCCACTACTATTTAATTTAACATCACACAAGATCCATGGAAATTCAAAGTAATTAAAATTTTAAGACTCACATTAAAGAGCCTTATACTTATACGTTCACATTACACATAAGACCCCCTTTTTTTGGTAGAACGCACATATTTGATATATATATATATATTGTTACACCCTTCAAACTTAAACTACCTGTTGTGCAATGGATTTGGACCGGTGGGAATAACCCGCTTCGATTCCAAAGTCGAGTTAGGGTTCGTCGTCTTCACCACGGCCACTTTCCTCGTGTAAACTTTTTCATCATCATCATCCGAGATCTTGAACTTCTTGTCTGGTAAGCCATGGCGGGAATTCACGAGCAGATTTCTCACTGAAGCTGCTTCCGAGTGATGAACTAGGGCAAGAATCAGAAGACAAGATGCCAATATCAAACCTCTCGTTCTCATTCTTGTTTTTTTTTTTTTTTTTTTTTGGGGGGGGGTCTTCTTC